TCAACTTTATCTAACAATACAATGCGCAACAAAAAAATGCTTTAAATCTTCTATGTTTGTGTTTGTAAGGGTAGCATGAATTTGACTTTATTTTAACCAATCAAAAAATTTTTCAAAAAATAACAACACATTTATAATTCGGTTTTAATTTTAACCGGTTTAAATTAAATAATAACCGGTTCTATATTGCATCCAAAATCAATTCGGTTCTTGAATTTACAACCGGTTCCAACCTCTAACTCTATTGATTGTTAAATTTTCAAAGGCAGGTATAAAAAAAAAGATGGTCTGTTTGTTGATTAAAATGAAAAATTCATTTAATGTCTTTTACTGATAAAAAATTTTTATTACATATTAAACTTTATTAATTTACGCATATTCATCGTAATAAACACGCTTAATTAATTTTTAAATATTTTCTGCTAAGTAAAATTTATTTCCAGACACTTTTTGACTCATTGATTGAGGTGCTTAAGAGCGACCATTATATATTTATATAAATTTAAAAAAATTAGAAAATATTGAAAGAACTATTTTAAGCTTTATAATATTTATGTTGGGATACCCCATCTACTTGTCTCCATAATACTGCCCAAAATCCAATTACCAAAACAACGAATTCATGTATAACACATGGTTTTTTTGTTTTTAGGGTATTGATATGGTCATCAATAATGCCCATATCATTATACTTAGTAACTTTTCCTTTTTCGATAACCTTAATGTAAGATTTCAATTGGGTTACCCCATTTTCCAAAACCACTTTAATAGTGGTTTTGATATATCTTCCGTCATCAGTTAAATAATACTTATACGGCATATTCAATAAGGCCTCCTTATTTTTTCTCTCCACTTCTATATTCATTTTTTCATGATCTGATGTACCAAAAGAATTTTTTGTTCCTTTATGCCTTGCTCTTAATAACCCACCTGTCGAGATGTACTTGAGCTCAATGCTCACGCCCTGTCCATCTCCAACAAGAAACAAATAAAAAAACCGCAGTTCGACGATACCTTGGAGAACTTCTTCATTTGTTTTTTAAATAAAAATTAGTAATCACGAAAGTATATACCAATTCTTCCCTACATAAAGAATTAAAATCACACCTTATTTTTTTAATTCCATGGAAATTTTCTTGTTAAGTTTTTCCTCAGCAACTTTAACAAACCACTTATACCATGTATTGTCAATTATACGGTTTGGTGATAGATTATCATAGAGAAAATTATAATAGGAATAATTTTTTTTAACTTATTTCAAAAACAAATAGGGTTTTAAAACATCCTATTTCTATTTCGAAATCTTGAAATCAGAAAATGAAATATGTGATATTCGGAGATGAAATGAGTAGTCTATGATTGTATAAATAAGCTTACAAATCAAAATAAATAAAATTTACGGTCAAATTTTACGTATTATATAAGTTATTACACGTGCATATTGTTACCAATTTTGGTGATGCGAACATGATTGATAACCATATTTATTATTATACCTGAAATCAGTATAACCATTGATGACGACCTCACGCGCCCCTGAATAATTCATAATTAACTTATTTAAAATGTTTCGAAAGAAATAGAGTATTCTTTTTTTTTAAATTTCTTAATATTGGATTTATTTTAAAATTATTGTCACGGGTTATACTGGAACTCCCGTGTACTGGTGGGTCTTTACTTTCTATCTTTACTCGCTTGGCTATTATCTTCGATGACCGTGTATCGTACAGGTCCTTCCACCTATCTTGTATGCACACAGGTAATGGTTTATTCACTAAGCACGAAACTTATTACTCACAAAGCTCGAATATCAAAAGCTTACAACTTCCAAAGCTTGGTTCTTTCCCTTTCGGGATCGATACCTTATATTAATTACTAATTGCTATTTGCATCACTGATTATTACATATTATCTCATCGCTCATGCAATCAATGTTTTTACTTTTAATTAATTCTATGTATATCCGAATCATGCTATTCATGCATATCGGGATCATGACCCGATCATGATCCCTTGACCTGACCCTTGTGGTACGAATATCCGGGGCACCAACGTGACCACGACAATTATTAATAATTAATATTCCTCCCAAAAAAAAAAAAAAACTTTTAAAAATACTACTAAAGAGAACTCAGAAAAAATCATAAAACTTGATGGTTTTTTAATGAATAGTAAGAATGAAGAGGACGCGAAACAATGACTATAAGTTTGCTTAATTTTTACTTGCAACTTACTAGGATAGAAAAAAAATTCTCATTATATTGGGTTTCTAGTTCTTGTCATCTCTATTAAAAAAAAAAAAACAAAAATCGATCATAATATGGGTTTTGTCATCCACAAGTAACTTGCATTGTATTGAGTTTTTTTGAAATTAAAAAATAGAGAGAATTTTGTTAAAAAAAGTAGAAACAACTCTAGACTACTCTCTTCGGGTCGAGAGGATTACTGGTCTACCAAGTTTGGTAACCACTCTTCTTAGAGTGTTCTCAGGCAATTCCCTCAATGTAATGTGGTTAATCGAAAAACGGCATCACTCGAAATGCGGCAATTTTATGGAAAAAAAAGATGGTCGACTTCTAATTAAAATTTGCCACCGATCTATCGCTTGAGGTGCTTGAGAACACTTGGTCTCAGCTTTGATCCGGACAATAACTAACTTAATTTGGAGAACTCTGTTTTATGAAAGCAAGTTCACCTTAAAAATAAAGTGAGGCTGATCGAGGCTAGTCTAGAGAATTACGGTTTGAAATTCGGGTAACCACTCCTAGAGTCAAATCAGGTGTTCTAACTTTGTTAGTAAAGTCTGCTGGCTCTGAAAGAGGAACTGGCTATGTACCTTCTTTCGCCTTAATAAAAAAAAAAAAGATTTGATGTGATGCAGTATTAACTCTTTTTTATAATATTGAAAGGACGCTAATATCAGATTATCCGATTATGATGGAAAATTTGAGTTCTCTACATTGGTCAACCTAAACGAATCAGTGAATGGAAAGACAAGTCGTTTCCAACCTCAATTATAGGTTCAATAGCATTTCTTTTACGAAATGATGAGCTATCTCACATCGAATCGATTGAACGTGAGAGCACTCGAAGGATTGAATGATGGGATAAAATGTTCAATAAGTAAGTAATTTTCACTTATATTAAACTATCGGGTTGTATAGGATTAGTTAGAAAGCATCTTTTTTTTTCTTTATTTACTTTCTTTTAAACGTTCGCATACATTTCAGCGTTTTCACCTTTTTTTTTTTTTTCTTTATTTCGATTATTGGATGTTTTTCATTTATATATGTATTTTTTGTGCGTGTTTAGGATATAAATTTATTATTTTTTTTTTATAGGCTTCTAATTTCTTCCTAGTTGCTTCCGGATTTATGATATAGCTTTTTGGAGTAGACCCTCGGCTTCGCTTCCCAGTATTTCTTTTTTGGCGTTATTGATTTTTTGTTTTTTCTTTGGCAGTTTACAGTAACTTTCTTCCTTTCCTTTTTAGGCTTCTAGGTTTCTTCGCTGTTGCTTCTGGCGTTATGGTGTAGATATTTTGCCTCGTTTCCCGGTGCCTTTTCTTTTTATTTGATTATAATTTTTTTTTTGTGTGTATTTAAGATACTGCCCTTTTTTTTTTCTTTTAGGTTTAGGTTCCTCGCTGTATCCGGCGCTTGTGGTGTAAATCTTTAGTATGAACCCTTCAACTTTGTTTCTTTTTGGTATTTTTACTTTGTTATTTTTTTTGGCGATTTGTTGCTATTTCATCTTTTTTTCGAATTGTCGCCGTCGGAGTCGTTGTTGATGCAATTTGTGGATTGAAATCGTTACAAAGTGAATTTCATCGTTTATGAAGTTTTTTATTCCAACCAGAGCGAGCGGGTGAATGGGTTGAGTTTAGAGATGGGTTTCATGCGTTCGCATGATTCCTCAATCGTGCGCATTAATGCGCATTAATGCACATTCATGCGCATGATCGGAATCATGCACATTTTATCCCACCTAAATTTTATATAGGAAAATTAAAGTATGTTTAATTTAGGTCAAGGTGTTTAATGCCAGGCGAAATTAAAAAATAGGAATGCAGAAGTTTTGAAAAATTCCGAAAAGAAAATGAATGAAGAAGGATCGGGAAAAAACTTTGGCAAATATTCGATATTTTCCGGAGGAAAAATATAAAATCAAAAAAATTATATCATGCGATATCATGCGCATTTTCCCATCTCTAAATATGAACTATAGGATCAATTTGATTATCCAAACACCAATTAATAATGTTATTAGGACTTTGTTTCGTATTTATTAGAAGTTAATTCAATGAATTAAAGACTAAATTCATATCAGAACATTTTAAACTAACTTCATTATATTTTATTGTATGGTAAAAGAATTGTTAGTTGTTTGAATAAATTCATTTGATGAGCTACCGATTAGACTATCTGACATTTTTAAAACAAAAAAAACATTTGTCATGGAAAGCATTAGCTTTATATAAAATTATTTATAACACTAACATATTTAGACGCTTTGTGTAATATATGACTACATTACATGTTAAACCAACGTCTATTTTATTTGCATAATTGGTTTAAATTACTACATATAATAGATTGTATATCTATAAAAAATTTCTTGTGTATTTGAAATATTCGGCTTACCTCAGCAAATTCTTGTATATTTCTGGTGAAAGTACAGTGTCTAAATTATAAACAAGTTATGTGTTCATTGTCATAAAAAAAAAAAAAAAGTGACCCATAAAATAAATCTTAGTACACATTTGAGCAACTTTGAGATCTGTAAATCGAATTTACTTATCTGCTGTTAGTAGAGCTAGAGAAATGAAATTCGAATAGAAATGATCATATAAATTTATTCACCGTAGAATGCTAATCCGAGTCTTAATATCAAATAGTTGACTTTTCCAAAATACATAACAATAAAAAAATTTATACGCTTGAATAAATGCTACAAAAAATTCTTCTCAACGAAAAAACTAACATTAACGACTTCTATATGAGATGGTTACAAATGCTGAAATATTATTAGAGAATAAAGTTTTTGACTTTATAAACTTATAAAAATATATGCTTAGAACGATTATTTACACATGTAAGTTAATGTACAATATAATTTTTACAGGAGGTCAAAATTACCAACGATGGTTAGAAGATAATATATATCTTTAATTAAAATCATTTATTTGCAATACCATTACTAGATTATGGCATTTTCAACTGGGAGGCTAAGATGTTCTCATGTGTATTTTCTATACTTTTTCAAATTATCAAGATATCTTAAATATTCATCGAGATATGAGCTGTGAAATTTAAGGTATTAATTTTTTTTAAAATGTCTATTTGCCTTACTTCTATTGCAGTATTAACGACAGCTCATTTCTTGTATGTTGAAATTTTGCTATCATGCATGCGACTCTGGTGTTTTAGGTTTTTAATTTTTGGGTTACTATCTTATCAATATTTAAAACTTTGTGTTTTTGATTTATTTCCATTCTGATTTTAATAAAATCAAGTTATTTCTTTATTTTCAGAATTAATTTCATCTGCAATAAACAATTATTTGGATCAAATGCGTATCATATACGTTGCTGCAACATTTGTTAAATAATTCACCATCAAAAGGTCCAAACTATAAATATTAGTTACTTGTGTGAACTCATTCTGATAAAATTTCTGGTGCTATATAAAGCATTGTGCCTTTAATTGTAAAGCGAAACATGACGTAGTCAGCAGTATATGCAATATTTTGTCGTCTTGTAGGGACCACTACATGAATAAAGTTTTTAAAATGAATTAATTTAAGATCAAAGCAATAAAGTGTAATAAATTATTTGTCTTTCCATTTCATTCGTGACACATTATTAAAATTCCTACGTAAAGTATATTCTAATACAGGAATATAATTTTTTTGTTATGCCGTGTAGCATTTTAAAGTGATAACTTTATATAGTTTAAATTAATGTTTTGAGTTAGAAAGGAAATTGCTAATACTTTAATAATTTTAACGAAGTTTATCTCTCTAAAGCCCATCTTGAATTCATTTTATTTGAGAATTAATTAAAGTGTAACAGGCAATGTATTATATTTTAGTTTGTTCATTAAGCATAAAATACATTATATGTTCCTTATATTATAATTTATCTGTATAGAAATTTGCCACTTTTTGTTTTTTTAAATAATCTTAGCATGACCTATATCAGCAAATTTTGATAATGAATAAATACATTATGTTCTTTGATAGCAATATCCAACATTATATGTTCCATTGGCGTTGCCAAATCAGCAGATTTATTTGATAATAAATAAATACATTCATTTATCATTCTCAACTCTAATTACATATTGCTAAAATTTACCAAATTAAACGCTCTTATTTAAAAATTTGTAAAATTCGAAATAAGTTAAAATAAAGATACATATAAGTCAACTAATAAGTAATTTATATAAAAATGCTTTAAATAACAATAATTAAAATCGAAGAAATTCTAATTCGGCCCATGCACCTCAACTGAACCATTGAAATCTTTCCGAGTTGAAAAAGAATTTCCCAATTTATTATTTTTAATAATAAATAAGTATTTAAAAAATTACAATTTTAATAGCAGCAATATTTTGCCTATTAAAATTATTTTATAACCTTTTCAACTGATTATTTATTAATATAAAAACTAGCCTATTATGAATGCAAAATTATAAAGCAAGTCAGTTTGCTACATTTCGGCTAATTTTTTATAACAAATAAAAGCCTTATATTCATCTTTTTTAACACCAGATCCATAAAGATAACAATGACCAACATTATATATACCACGAGCATAGTCCATTTCGGCAGATTTAAGAAAATACTTGAATGCCATGTTTTTATCTATTTTAACTCCAACTCCAAATTTATAACAACATCCAACATTATTTATTCCTACAGCATGTCCCATCTCTGCAGATTTTTGATAATAAATAAATGCCTTATATTCATCCTTTTCAACTCCAATTCCAGCACGATAGCAATTTCCAACATTAAATATTCCTTCAGCAAGATCCATATCAGCAGCTTTTTTATAATGAACAAATGCTTGTTGTTCGCTCTTTTCAATCCATTTACCAAAACGATAACCAATCGCAAGAATTATTTGAGCCATAGGATTAATTTGATTATCTAAGCACCAATCGATAATTTCATTAGGATTTTGCTTCTTATTTTCTAGAAATTGATCTAATATATTAAAGATCGAGTCCAAATTATTGTATTTAAATCTTTCTTTATTGTATAGATTATATAATTCTTTAACAATTTCACTAAAAGGATTCAAGGAATTATCTTTTAAATATATTTGGTTAAAATTATCATTTATTTGGGTGATTACATTTGATGAACTAATAATTTCTTCTGAATTTTCTGCAACTAGATTATTTGACATTTTAAAGCCAAAAAAAATTGTTCTGAAAAGCATTACGTATATAAAATTGTTGGCAACAATACCATATTTAGAAGCTTTATGTTACGTATTGCTACATTACATGTTAAACAACATTCATTAAATTACGTAATTGTACTCGTAGATATAAACGATCACTGTACCATGATCACGGGATATTATTATTACAAATATCCATTATTCGGTAAATCTCATATTTTTAATGAAAACTTTATCGGGTATGATTTCTAAATTATTTAAAAAGTTTTGTAATGTCATAAAAATGGAAATAAAAACCCTTCTTACTATGAATATGAAAGAAGTTAGCCAACAAGCTTGAGGTCTATAAATCAAAGCTACTTACTCAGTTAGTAGAGGTAGAGAAAGGAGGTTCATCGAATAGGAATGATCGTATAAAATCTATTCCCTGTAGAATCTTAATCTGATTAAAATTACCAAAAATTTGATTTCTCTAAAATACGAAATCAAAAAATTTATATGCTTGAATAAATGCTATAAGAAATAATGCCAGACGAAAAGACTAACATTAACGATATCTAAAGTTGTTGAAAAATTACTAGTTTATTTATTTACAGCTTTACAGTGGATATTACAATAGTTCTACATTTTTAGTAAATTTGAAATTGTTAATTTTGATTTAATATGTAACAAGCGAATTACTATAATCTAATAATATCTTAGAATCATAATTTCATCAACTAAGAATGCAGACAATATTATAAATTGTCATAATTATAGGCATAAATACCATTATTCTGCACCTACAAGTCCGACATAATTTAATTTCAAAGTACGCTTTTAAGTATCATATGGAATATATCCTTCCATTTTGCGCAACTGCGTTGTGCAGCTACTTATTAAGAAAATACTGCACTCAATTATTGTGCAAGGATCTTAATGCAGTAATCAATTTTTTATTTCCTTCCTATTTTTCTATTTTTTTATATTAATTATTAGCGCTTTGAAATAATTGTTAACGCTTGGTGTTACTCTAAATTACTTTCTGGCCTTTTTTGGTAATTTTTGGGTTCACAAATTTTAACTGATTGTAGTCTATATATCTCTTTGTTTCCTTACACTTGCATAAGAGCAGTGCATTCAAAGCGTTGCGCAAGCTCAAGCGCTCTTAAAAATTTTTCGCTTATTATTCGGTTGTATATATAAAATAAATTGCAAATGGCGATTACTAAATAACCTTAACTGGTAAAAAAAAAATACGTATAAAATAGTTGCAAATAAATAACGATTAAAAAGGAAATCCATTATTATTAAAATGCATGAATAAAATAATAAAAATATTACATATTTTAATTACCAAATATAAAACAATTACCTAATAAAAAATTAATTATTATAGTTTAGTTCAAAAGTCAATAATCTAGATAAATGCTATTAGGGTAGCTGCGCGACGCAGTCGCGCTCACAATTACAATTAGCACTAAGTATGACACTACATTTCGTATGCTGGTTTTTGAAAATTAATATATTTTTATTTTAATTATCGCAGCTGATGCTGGCTTGAGGTCACTATAAAGCTAAGTACGATCATATGAATCCTATTTTGGTAGGAATAATGATTTTTTATTCATTTTTAAAAAGTTATAATTATTAATCGATGCACTAAACAATTGAAAATCATAAGTATAATACTTACCATTATAAAAAGTGTAATAATCCTAACATATCATGATGCTTGTCATGCGTGTATACGAGATGGTAGTATAAATAATAAGATAGCTGCGCAGAATGTGATGCCGCGCAGTACGATCACATGTGCGAATAAACATGATGTTTCGCACTAAAACTAGGAACAAAAATATCTTTAGATCCAAATAATTTAATATCTGGTGATATATATGCGATTTAGTTGCGTTCAAACTTATTCGACATCTCATTAATACATGAAATGTGTTAAGATCTAGTTAGTTATATCGGAATTATCATATTTCTATCATGAATTACCATAAATACTCTTGTAAAAACTTACTCGTTATTCCAGTGGTATATAATCGCCAAGATTATATTGAATTTATATTAGAATTATCATAATTTCTACCGTGAATTACTGTAAAGTATTCTGTTACAGAGCTTACCAATATAGTACATAGTAATTAATATTAAGGTTTAATTAGTTTGTAATGAAATTATCACGATTTTCATCATTACTGTATTAGTTGTGGTAAATGTCTTACTTGTATTCTAGTGATCGTATCGAATGGTCAAAGTCGATTGATTTCTACCATGGGTTATAGTAAAAAATTTTGTCAGATTACTCGCTAATGCGGTATATACAGTGTGTGTTTAAGGTTGAATTAGCTTGTATTGAAATTATTATTGGAAAATCTATGCAGAACTTACTTGATATCCTGATTATTATAATACATATTTAGTTCGCATCAGAATTGTTATGATTATTATGTGATTATCATGTTAGTTTGTATTAAAATTATTATAATCTCTACTGTAAAATAATCCTATTACAAAACTATCTATTTCGACAAATATAATTTTTACAAAATTGCAAAATCAAAATTTTTGGCCCATCACCACCTTTTTTTGCTGTAGGGTCCAATCTCTAATCTAGAGTTTGGAGCCGGGTTTATTTTTCATATTAAAATCGATTAAAACTGGTTTTAACCTATGAAAAATAAAATCGGTTCCAAACTCTTAGTTAGAATGTCCAGATTATGCGGTTTCATAGTTTTAATTTTAGTCAAAATAACTTGGTCAAATAAAATTGTCAATAACACATCAGAAATTTGGAAACAAAATAAGGTTCAAATAATTCATATTTTATTTATAATAATAGAAACAATTTCTGAAGTTTCATAAATAGAGTTTTATAAGTATAAAAATCTGTAAATTTAAATCCATATTGTTGCTAATTTCTTAATGTTTGCTCATGCTTTTATTTTTAATTGAGTCATAATAAAAATCCTTAAAAAGCTAGAATTGTATTCCAAACTTTTGCTTTTAATAATAAATATTAATTTTCATTACTGTAGAATGTAATAATGTTTTAGTAAAACACAAATTATGAAATGACGCCTCTACTAACAATCTAGTGGCTCTTGTGATTTAACGATGCATATAAGAATATGAAATAATTGGGTTCACTATCTGAATAAAATCTGTCAAGATGCAAAGTACTAAAATTTCATGGTATTTTTACTAAGATTTTAATAATGTAGTAGCACTATCTATGCAGAAATATGGTTTTATACGTAAGATAAATTTTGAAGTCGTGGCAATTTTGTTATTATTAATACAGTAATAGATTATTCTGGATTAATTTCTTTATTAGAAAAATATGTGCAAAGTAGGCCCACGATCAATAAATAATTTAAATAATGAATTAATAATATACTTGGTTGATGTGTTGCCATAAAACAGTTTCGAATTTGCAAGTTTAAGATTAATATATTTTTTAACTTTACTTTCTTAACGAGGTAGATTGATACTTTTAAAAATCTTTCATAACCGAATAATGACTCGGAAATTCTGCATTTTATCCCATGCTCTTTTAATGAAGAATTTTCCGTTCTCGTCAAGAGATTAAAGGCATTTAGAAATAAATAATGAAATTTGTTCGAATGAAAATGGATCTTGCCAAATAATAGGAATTGACATTTTGCACCAATGTCGGTTTACAGTGCGCATGAGATAAGGTAGCAAAATTGTTATTAAAATTATTAGGAACGTTTCCTATTATTAAGGACGCATCACCCACAAATATTTTAACTCCATGAATCACATGTTATACTGGTCACTATATCAAGATCGCAGGTCATAAATCAGCTATACCCTGGGCACTATGTGTATAATCATCGCCTATACCCAACTGCCCAGGATATAACTATTACTAATTAACCGATCTCTAATGAAATTATGGACTAAGCATGAAAACCTTTTACTCTCTCGACTAGCTGTAACAATGATATTTTCTTTATGGTATTTAGAGAGAAAATTATTACAATTACTTTTTTGTAAAATAAGAATAAAATTTTATTTCCAAATCTAATTTTCATTTTGATAAACAATTACTATTTTCATACTCTACGTGTATTAATAAGTAATAGTTTCAAATAGAGTGAACCGATTTGCATTTTAAGATATATAATTTCCTCTTCTTCACAGACAGCAACAGCAGTAGTAAATCTAAAATAATGCCATTCATTTATTTTAGACATGGTTCAGTATAAAGGTAAATAAATATTATTCAATATATATTTTAAAATTGAAGTTCAGTGAATGTTATTTATAATCTGTAGATAAAAATGAAACGGCTTGGCAATGGAAGTTTTTCCAATCCGAAATGAAGTAAATCACAAAAAAGCTTTTTGCTAAGAAAGATTGCAAGGAAAATTTATAAGAGATGAAATATCTGCGATAAGTTTTGGATTAGTTGGTGAAAAAAGGTTATTATCCGGCACCTTACTATGATCGTACCAACAGAATAACTCGAGTTATTTTGATGATAATTGCATCATCATCACCAAAAGAACTCGAGTCATTCTGTTGGTTCGGTCGTCGTAAGATGCCTGATAATACCGTTATTGAATGCTACTCAGCCAATAACTTGTTTATCTGGCAGTGAATTTAATATGTCATTTCTGGGCCCCTTCGGGGCCCAGAAGCTGACATATTAAATTTAACAGCCAGATAATGAAATTATTTTACAAATAATTTCCGTTATTGGCTGCTTCGCATCCAATAACTCTATATTATTGGCATTATTATCTTTTTATTATTTTTGTATTCGAGTCTTTTCCTGTAATTAACAACTAATCTTATTATAAAAACTTATGCTGATAAATGACTTGGTCATTTGATCAAAATTCAGATGATCCTCAGTCATCAAATAATTGCCATTTACGTAGTCGCTTATTGTGTGCAATAATTTTGATTTGTCAAATAGCGAGTTAAAAATTTTTTTATATATTTATGAAACCAAATTTTCAAACACGTAAAAAAACCAATCGTATTTAAGCTTATTCAATTTGCATGAAAATTTGTTATTAACGCACAAATATAAATTCATTAAATAGTCTTTTAAATTTATAGACTTTTATAAACAGCAGCATCTTATAAAAATCAATTTTTTTCCAATAACTTATTTTTGATTGAATCAATTAGAGTTAATTGACCTTATTAAGTTATTTATCTGTGAAATGACGATGATTGGGCAGGTCCCTTCTTAATTTCAGAAATAAGAAGTTACAAAGGAACATACATGAATTTACTTACAAGATCTCATTAGATCTGAACAAAATTAAACTTTCTATGGAGATAAATTCGCTTTTATAAATTTCTTTGCAACTATTATTACAATCCGTCACTTGTTTTATTTTTTTGTCAGATTCTGAAAGTTCTAATAGAGCTTTATCGTCATTTTTCCAGTTTATGAAAGTTTCACAAGCTTGTTGTGCTGACGGGCGGTTCTTTGGTTCTTTATCCCAGCATTTTTTCATAAAATCCACATAACATGATTTTGCGTCTTCAATATTTGGCCGTAGATTATTAAGGCATATTTGTGAAAAAAGGTCTTGTCCAGATTTTTGATTATAAATTACTGATTTACTATACAAAATTTCCCACATAATTATACCAAATGAATAAATATCAGATTCTTTAGTATATATTTTATTTATGAAAACTTCAGGAGCAATGTAAAGTAAAATGCCAACGACTCCATCAGATTTTGATTTTAACATAATATTTACTGTTATTGAAAGTCCTAAATCAGCAATATATGCACTGTTCAAGTCAGATTGCAATATATTTCCAGGAAATGAATTATCTGAAGATCAGATGCAATGCATTGTAGCAGATTTAATTTGTCTTTCTAATCCATTTGTGCTATAACATATAGATTGTTACGTAAACAACCTTCTTTAGCATAATACATGACAAGAATATAATTTCCAGAAGCTTTATCTCTCAATATACCAAAACATTTTAAAAATGTTGGATCTTTAAGCCCGATATCACAATATGCTTTTAACTAATTATTAAAAAGGGTGATATATTTAAATTATTAACATAAATGATAAATCACGAATAAGATAGAGTAATTAATAAAAATGTTTTACAAAGATTACCTCGTTTATAAATTCCTCGTGATAATTATTTGATTCATGGAGCCGTTTAAGTGCCACAGGTCCACTTATCTTTTTACTTTTATCAAGCCATCTAGCACAATATACAGTTGCAAATCCGCCCTTACCTATTTCAACAATATTTTTAAATTCATAATAAGGAATCCAAGATAAATGATATTTATTTTCCATTAATATTTTTTTCAAATTATCTTCAATTTCAGAATTATGTACCCATTCATTTGCAGCTATTAATTATTTACAAAATTTTGTCAACTTTAGATTATAAATAAATTAGCAAAAATATCATTTATAATAAATTAATTATAATAATACCTGATGTTAAATCCTTTTCTCTAATCAACGATTCAAATATATGAATTGTTAAAATATAGAATATGTATATAATGTAATTTAGTATCCTGGAAACGTAGTACGACCATAGACCTATCAATTAAATATCAATATCAGGTGTAATTATTTAAAAAGTCATCATTTCAAAATGTTTTAAAAGTTTAATCCGACCTAAATTTAATTACACCTGATCATATCATAATTGATTGCGGAACGTCATAATACACATGCAAAAAATTAAAATTTAAATTAAAATTTACCTTTGATACCAATATTTGGCTTTATGTAAATCTCTTGCTATTCCAATTCCATTTCTATAACAATCTGTAACGAACGACATTCCACTTTCTAACCCCATCTCTGCAGATGTTTGATAATAAATGAATGCCTTATGTTCATCCTTTTCTACTCCAATTCCATTCATATAACAGTTACTAAGTGCAAATATTCTACCAGCGCTACCCATCTCTGCAGATTTTTGATAATAAATAAATGCCTGATGTTCATCCTTTTCAACTCCAATTCCATTTTGATAACAATATCCAACGCTATATGTTCCACTAGCGTCACCCATTTCTGCAGATTTTTGATAATCAATAAATGCCTTATGTTCATTCTCTCCAATTCCATTTCTGAATATGTTATGATTACGATTTAATCACTAAAGGATAAAAAAAAGATCAGGTCGAAAGCCTTATTTTTATACAAGAAACTTCGTTCAGATTTTTATACAGGTAAAGTAATAGTAAGTTTTAACAAATAATTATGCATTTTATAGATTATTCGAATTGTAAAATAAAATTGTATGATCATAGATTCTTTAGAATATCCATAATTGATCGTACTATTAGAAGGTAAAAAAAGGAAATTGATTTTAGAACAATTTACCTAATATATGCTACTTTTAGCATGAAGGAAATATATTCTTTGAATTCTGGAATTATAAGATAAATCGTACAATATGTGCATTATGCTTTTTTGTAAATAATTACAAAATTGTCAATTTATAATTTATTTAACTTACAAATAGATCTTAGCATGTAAACTTTATCGTACAGTACTTGCATTAAATTTATATACTATATATGGATTGTTTATTTGCCTTCTCTATATTACAAAGAAGATATCATGTTATAGATATATACTAATGCTAATCAAGAATATTCAGCAGTGCGTAAATAAAGTCGGGCTGAATCTAGACCTGGTCTAGTTTAAATAGATATTGTTGATAAACAGGTTTTATATTATAATTGTCCGGAGCGTAGCGGAGGACACCTAATGGACGAGTAAAGTACATCAAAAGTTACGAAGTTGATGTTTATAATGAACAAAATCAAGAACATAATCACGCGTGTTCAAATTTGTCAATTTAGTGTAGCAAAATATGCATATTCACGCGTTTGTGTAATAAGATGATTATCATATGACATGCTCCGGAGCACATGACGATTATCATATAATACAAACGCGTACGTAAGCATGCATGTTTTTTGTTGCACTAAATTACAAATTTGAACACGCGTGCGGACAGACAAAAAATTTCCAAATTACATTTCTGATGTGATCTTCATACTATTTATACGGCTGCATCAAAAAAGCAAATCCTAGTGGCTTAATACATCAAAAACGTAATTTTTGTATTACCAAGCGTAAACACTAAATGTCCGTCGCTACGCTCCGGCCAATTAGCTATTCCAATTGGTAGGTTTAAACCAAAATAGTAAATGTTTTTTTTTTTTTTTTTTTTTTTTTTTTTTTTTTTTTTATGCCAAATAATTATTTAAAGCTGCTAGAATTAAATAGGGTTACGATAGAGGTAAGAAACCTGTTCATAAGCTGGTTTATAGTTGATTCGTTAGGGACCGGGTTGGATCGATATAATCTTACTAATAATAGTATATTTAAAGAATGAGTATGGCTTTCTCATTTTCGGAAACATAATTGTAGACAATGGTTTTAAAATGATTGTTTTTACAACTGTAAAATCTAACACATGAAAAGCGATAGCGATAGGCGTTAAAATCAATAATACAAATATAGTAATAAGATCTTTGTAAATCGGATTTCTTTCTATAAATAGCTTAATACATATTTTTATAGCAAATACAAACGTTAATTCTAAAGCATACTTTACAGTAAACCTTTTATTTGCACATTTAAATCAGAGAAATGATCGTGATCGACAAGAAATAAATAAACCCATCAAATTAATTATGAACAATTATAAAGTAGCTCATTGTTTCTATTTATCTGAAGAATAGGTCTTGTAAAGATTATCAAGACGTTTTAACTCGAGTCAGCTTAAACGGAAATACCTTGTATACACGAACATGTAATTAAATAAACATGATTTTCGTTATACAATACAATATATATTATTAAAGTAACAGATATGTATCACATTAGCAAAGCGTCGTACAAGCATGTGTGAAATTGTAACGTGTGATGAACACGGTATGCATTCACGTCCCTGCTTCTCCTCATTTTTAACCCAATCAAATGCAAGATTTTGCGGAAATACACCATTAATTCGGCATATAACCATAAGTAGCTGCGCGACATTGTCGCACTAAACCAGGAACGGATGAACGTAGGCTTAGGGTGTTCTCAAGTAACTCCCTCAATGTGATCTGATAGTGATTGAGATGATGCTCAATTATTATAATTGGTCGTTAATGTGAATAAGAAATGTGAACAGCTCACATTA